CTATAATAGTGTCCAGCCCTGTTTTAAATTCCCACTAATTTTATGAGGTAGTTACTGCAAATATCCCCAGTCTATAGATCAGGGAACAGAAGCACATAAGGAATAAGTAATTTTGCCTAAAATCACAGAACTGTTAAGTGGTTGGCCGGGATTTGAATCCAGGAAGTTTGGCTCCTACATTTGTGCTCTCAGCCATTAGACTATACTAGCTCTTATTGTTTTGCATTATCAAAAATAAACGGTCTTCTCTTCACATACCCAAAAGCACACTATTTGTACTTCTGTTTAACATTTAGTGTTATATGTCTGCCTTTCCAAGTACATTGTGGACTCCTCTGAGGCTTTATATTCCCTTCGAAATATAAAGTAACTTACACACCTCCGCCTTATTTTCCCAACTAAAATATTTGAGTGCAGTAACGATATTACGGACATCTTAAACATTTTACTTGTGAGGGCTCTCTTTTCCTCACCTCTGGAAAAACTTGGCAAGCAGTTCCCTGTTCTTAGCTACTCCAGCTTTGCGTCCACAGTGAGGAAAGTTAAAATAAATTCGATCAAACTCCCTGTCATGCAGTCCAAAGGCATCTGTCAATTGGGTGCAGTCCACACCGAAACGTACCTCGGTACCTGGCAAAGACAGTTTGTAGGCGCTTAAGACCTGGAACCACAGAATCTCTTCCTAACCTGAACCGTACAATCTTGCCCAGGTGTGGGCACACAGCAGGCTTTCCGTGAATATACCCGGGATGATCCAGAGCAATCCCCACGTGGGTTCCATCCCCACTCCCCCACCCTTTTCACTTTGGCACGCGCCGGCAGGTGGGCGGGGCTTAGCAAAGGGGGCGGCTTCGCTACCTCGCTCGCGCAGGCGCTGCAGATTCTCCCGGGCTACAGGGTCTCGGGCCAAGTCGGCGGGGTGCTGGAGGCACGTGGCGGTAAGAACAGTACTTGTGTCCAGGTTCTCGCTCAGAGCGGCGGCGAAGGAGAAATTCCCCTCCCCAACCAACAGGAGGCGCCGACAGGCCATAACCTCCACTGCCTCCCCGATAGCTTTCTCTGTGGCGCTCGTTTCTTACGTCACTTCCTTCGAGGGTCTCTGCCCGCTTCTTCTTCACCCGCCACTGGTAGATGACGCACTCACAGTGCCTGGTTGTCTTAATAAACTGATGCAGCGACTGCAAAGGAGAGTAATAACCATGAATGCAAAAACGAGATACCCACCCC